CCACTGAACACAAAATAAAGGAAATTCAATTTATTCTGCTTCATTATAATCTGAAGTGCAATCTTCAGACCTTGTTTTCAGTCGGACGATGTCAATCACCGTAAAATTCTTAAACTCTCCATCTCCTTTCATTCCACCAAGCTTATCTGATGCCTAGGGTTGCAGCAAACTATTAACTGTTAATCAGTTCTTTATGGGCGTATGCTCTTCCTTTTTTTTGAGCGGGTCTGTCGTAAGTTAAGTTTTCATTATTGAAACTACAGTGCCAGAATTTCCCCTATAACTTTTGTCTACTAATTTTGAAGTTGTTCTTGTCAGTTTAGACTTCGACAGAACTGAGTTCCTGTTCATCCGTCCTTCTTGCGTTTTGTTACCACTAAGCAGATGGACCTTAGTCCTATGCAGCAAACCAGGATGTTAAACGTAGGATATAATATTTTTCTAACTTATCAGATCAGCCTCGTTAATTAAACGCGAATTTCCTGCCACCACCTGTGTACTTCTGCCCTGAAAACGTCGGTTGTATGAGCTAAGGTCCTCGATTAGGTTACGCTTTTCTAATTTCTGTCCATCCCTAAACCGTGTTGCTGTATCCTTACCTCCCATCTCTTCAGATTGGAAGGCTGACTTTCTGTTCGCTCTTTGACTCATTTATATTCTTACAAGGGGCGTCTGTTTGTGACCAGTTTTGGTCACAGTCAATAAATGTGACGGCTTCCTAAAGCCAAAAGTAAACAGTTTTCGACAAGAAACACCGCAGGTGCTTAGCCTAATATATTTCCTTTTCTATGTTCCTATAAATGTTGTTTAGTCGGCATACTGATGATAGCGGGGAGTGTTTTCCCTTCTCTTGCAGGCTTCCTAAAATCGTCGGTTGCATCTGAGCTTGTGTCCACCAGCTGAAAGCCCGGATAGACAAATCGTTTAAAAATCTATTTTTGTAACTCACCAGTTAGCTACTATGCGCAAATTGCGTCATTGGCCCTTCCTCGCACAGTTCACAAAGACAGTTCTTCGTGCGTAGGACTTGTTTGTTTGTATCCATTCACACCCTTCCCCTCAATTTGTTTCAGTTACATATCTGTTTAGATTGTACGTTTACGCAAATATACAAATGCGTGCGCATACTCAGCCACCAGTGTTCTCTTTCTCCCGGTATCCACGCTGGTTATGGTGTTAGTACGGCTTCGTAGTGTTCACAGTCGTCCTTCTAACTTCCTACAAGTGTTAGGTCAGCTGTTGCTGTCGATACGCGAGCAACTAATATCGCCCGTTCTCGCAGACATTGGCGTGCTCCTCCATAATGTGTCCAGGTCGTCTGTTCTTTCTCTTGAAATCCAGTGCAGTAAGTTCGTAGTGTTTTTTTTTCGAGCACAATGCTGTTCATCGGGGAATATAATTGTCGGCGTGCTTTGAAAAGTGTTGCTCGTGTCATGTGGCTGCAGAAGAGTACAACGTAGGTGCTACCTTCGATTTTCGTCACACTGTTTAGCTAGACGACGCTTTTCCATAACTTATATGGAATTTGATGCACTTGTATTTATATTTTTGACTCGAACCATAAATCGTATCGGCGTTTCCTAATTCCAGGTAAATAGTCATTGAAAGTCCCATTCCATGTTTGTACTCTTACTGTTTCAGTGCCAATCGACATTGGCGCTGTATCCAAGAAAGTAGAATCTAGAAGAACTGGGCCAACAGTCCAAACCTGCATGTTACTTCCTTCATAGCTTTGCATTCTACAAAAGCCCCACTCCTGTAACAGTTTCAGCTTTCGACATGCAGATAGACTCTAATTACAACAAACAGAAACAGCAAAGATTTCAGGCACTGCTCCCCCCTCCGTCACCGACCACAAGCGTCTGCCATTAATCTTCTAGTCCACAAGCACAACCTGGTGAAGATCAACATCTTTGAACTGTCAAATAAAAACAGCACAAACTAATCGGGGTTAGATTTTGCATTCATAGACGCTCAGACCAAGAGATTAACTTTTTTCGAATTAGTCCACTTGTCTGCATCGACTTTTTGGTAAAGATGATAGTGTTTTGGTGTTCCTATGAGCATAAATTGGTAACGGTGTAAAGGTGGTAGCGTATTTCGGATCCAGTAGTCTTTTAGATTATTTTCAGTGTTTTTGAATGGTTGCGTCGCATGGAGACCGTGCTGTCATGGCACAGAGTAAACGTAGTCCATCTTTTCTGTACCCCTCATCTAGTCTCACCACAACCAGTCATCGATTCAGCACATGTCTGGTGCCTCCGTCGTCCATCAGACGGCAGATGAGAGCGCAGCACTGAAGGCGGAGGCGATGCTCATGTCAGGGGGCGGTGCCGCAAATCTAACCCTTGGCACCACATCTGGCGATAACGAGGGCAGTGTGACTGTTGTGCCCGCCTCCGTTGACTCCATTAGTCTCATCCAGCAACAGCCCCAGACGGCCAC